CTGTTTAGTTCACAACCATGTCTCCGCACTTCCTACCCTCTTCAATGTGGCCTCTTCTCTATATTTAGCTGTGGAGAATCTGTTCTGCTAGTCTTTGGTCATTTTCTGGGTTATTTACACTAATATGGGTGTTATCTAGTTGTATATGTGGGACAAAGTAAGCTTAGGGTCCCCTACTCTGCCATCTTCCCTGGAAGTCTAATAAAGTTTAAATAAAGTTTATATAAACCTCCCAAGGCTAGTAGATTAATAAGTGCTGGAGATTTGATTGAAAACAAATCAGTCTAACTCCAGCCTTAGAACTATGCTCTTTCTTGAGAAAAACTGTACCCAAACTTTTAGTTACATACTCATATCAATAAGAAAAAACAGAGCATGTACTACAAATATTTATTATAAATTTTATCTGCAATACTATATAATATATATTATGTACATTATAAATAATGCACAAAAATAAAAATCAAAGAAGTGTTATAAAAATAGAAGTACAAGTTACACTATACTTTATCTCACTTCAGATTATTATTCTTACTACCTCTATGGGTTTATCTAATTCTAATTTATATTCCTAATTCTAGTGTAAAATATATTATCTTGCCTATAGCAGATACTCAATAAATGTTGTGAATAAAAGATTATGAAGTTTTCCTCTACACTGTTATACTCTATACTCAGTGCTGTAACATACTGACATATTTGAATACAAACGTGCTCAAAAGCAGCGTCCTTGAATTGATTTTTAATATATCTGCTAGCTTTCAGTTGTTAAAGGTCAAGCTTCAGTCATCTTCCTCAGAGCATTAGTTAAAAGAGAGAGTTTGTTATATAGCATTAACAGCTGGTATCCCAAAAGGGACATTTGCAAGGAGAAGGAGGAAGGTCCTCAAAGGCAGACATATTCCATTCAAAATTGTTTGCTTAATTCTCCTATCTATAATCCTACAGAAAATAAATGCTGTTGTCTCTTTAAAAACCCTAGATCTGCTGGGGAATTTGTGATTGTTTAATAACCATGGCTCTCAATCTTTTTTCAATGAATGGAATGAACTATAGGTGTAGATCTTCAACCTAGAGGTGATTGTCTGTGGACTGGATGGAAGTGTGTGTTTTATTTCCTTCCCCACCAGATGAGAGGGTATAAAAGCAGTCACCTGTCAACCCACTCTAGCAATGAAATTCAGCAGCCTATTGTCCCAATCACTGCTCTCAATCACCCTAAACGGCCTCCAGAGGCCATCATTATTATAGGACATGTTCCTAAGAGTAGATAAATGGAACTCCACCTGCCAGCCTGCATAGGGAAAGATGGACATTCTTGGCCAAAAATATGAAAGGGCCTTGGAGCTTTATTGACATTTACATCAAAAATAGTTAGCAATAAAAGCAGCTGTTGTGGCGTGCTTTCACCACGACGTGTTTGGAATATGCTGTGAATTGAAATACAGACCTCCTGACAAGCAATTTACCTTCTGTCAGTCTCCATGTGCTTGCAGCATTACTGGGTACTCGCTGTGATAGGCCACTTAAAGCTGCACATGTGTACAGTTTGGATGAAAGATTAACTACAATTTGAGGCAGGAAGTAACGTATTGTGGAGTGTCATTCATAATGGCCTACATTGTCATCTGCAGGGTGACACCATAGCAAGAAGGTGCCTCTGTTGTGACTGCCTTATGGAATCAGATGTCATTCATTCTAATGAAGATCTGACTACAATTCTAATAAGCAGAGTGCAAGACATCTCAGGACTGGAAGCATTAATCTGTCTTGTTTGTTGACATTATAGGGATGACTAAAATGCTATTATGCAAGAAATTTTTTTCAGAAGTGATTCAATAGCGGAATTGCAACACAATGTATAATGGCCCAGAACAAAAGATGTGCCAGAAGTTAATTTCTGTATTTATTCTTCTCAGTTGATTCAGTACCCTTCCCTTAAAAAATTTCTACTAGATGAAATATTATGATGTCTCATGAGTAAAGTACTGATTGTTTTGTCTGAGCAATATGTGGAATTCCAGTCTCTTCGATGGAAAATTCTATATCAAGTTTTGGCGGCACTTTTGGAAAGCAATGTACCATTTATTATGAAGAGTAGATAAGATACTTGGCTACTTTTTCCCTAAAATCGTTGCCCTAAACTATGCTACCTGCAGCTCTAGAAACAATATTTAGTCAAATCTAAAGAAAAATAAGTAACTGATGTTGTTTTTCCTCCCCTGGCGAAGAAGTTCGTCGTTTTCAATCTGATAAACTGCTCAACAGTGTAAAGTCCATGGGCAACTGCCAAAGCTGATATGTCTATAGAAATCAAGTGCCTTACAAGTTATAATCAACTTTATCAGTCATTATATATTTGTTTTTGAAAAGAGGACAGAGTTTCATTTTCCTCAATAAGTGTTCAAAAGCAGTTCTCCGTCTCTTCCCTTTCACAAACATGTGATCCTTTGCGTTCCTTGGGTTAGTTACTGATGAGGAAACAATTCATAATAGTTTAATTCTTTGCAACTCAAGTAGGAAGAAAGGATTTAGCACAATGATATTTTCAAATATACAATGCACTTGCTCTTATGACTATGTATCCAAGATCCTTGCAGTTGATTATCAATCCACAACCACCCTAGCATCTAATTCTGTGATTTTCACTTTACTGCAAAATCATAGATGGTTTGTGTCTAGCATTTCTACTTCTGCTTCAGATCAAAGTGTGGTTTAAAGTCCTTAGTGAGCTTGAGAATCAAGGCTTTCAACCTCCTCATGCTAGCCCAACTGCTCTGGAAATCTAAAACTATCAATAAACAAGGTTTTTGTTTGTTTTACACTCTACTTTTGCCAAAAAAAGAAAAAAGAGGAGGATATTATTGCTAGTCTCTGATGTATACTGAAAGATTTCACTAAACTTACTTCAGAAGCATATTCCTGTAAATAACAATTCCAAACATGTTCCTATGAGTATAAATATTTTTTTAAAGATTTTATTTATTTATATGAGACAGAGAGAATGAGAGACAGAGAGCATGAGAGGGAGGAGGGTCAGAGGGAGAAGCAGACTCCCTGCCGAGCAGGGAGCCCGATGCAGGACTCGATCCCGGGACTCCAGGATCATGACCTGAGCCGAAGGCAGTCGCTTAACCAACTGAGCCACCCAGGCGCCCCTTATGAGTATAAATATATGCACATATTCCAGAGACCATAAATTCACGAAATAATTTGTTGTGATTGGCTCTTGGGCGTTTGGCTGGCTAATGCTGGCTCAACCCAGAAAATTTATGTGAGGTGAGTTCTAACAGGCCTGTGTGTATCAAAGCAGAGGCGATACTGTGGGCGACTTTCACTTTCAGTGAAATTGAGTCTTTTGGTAGCTTCCAGCCAATAAATAGCTGAAGGAAATCACCAGCAGCTGTCTAGCTGCTGGCAGACATAAGCTTTAAGGCAGCCATGCAAATTAGCATGTTTCTGGAGCCCCTCCCAAAAAACAAATGGGCTGCAAACACCAAAGCTTCCATTGAATGGCTTACTTTTGCCTTTCTATTAACTCAGACCTATTCCTAATTCTTATTTCTATTCCTATTGTTGCTAACAATCTACCCAAAATTTAGTGGCTTAAAGCAATACAAATCTATTACCTTATAGTTCTGAAGATCAGAGCACAAAAATGGGATTTACCTAAAGTCAAGGTGTCAGAAGAATTATGTTTTTTTCTGGAGGCTTTAGAGCAGAATTTATTCCTTGTCTTTTCCAGTTTCTAGAGGCCACCTACATATTTTGGTTTGTAGCCCCTTCCTCCATCTTCAAAACCAGTAATTCAATACTCCTTTATAACTGACCCTCCTGCCTCCCTCTTCCCTTTATAAGGGTTTCCGTGATTACATTGGGCTGAGCTGGATAATCTCCCCATCCAAAAACCCTTAACTTAATCACATCTGCAAAATCTCCTTTGTTGGATAAAGAAACACAATCATGAGTTCTGGGATTAGAATGTGGACACGTTTGAAGGACCTCAAAGATGCTTCCCACACCTAATTTATAGTAATGCTTTCTTTGTCCATTGCCTTTTTCCCCTTTACAACCATCAGAGGAAGTGATGGCAGGGAAGACTATCACTCCCACATGTGAGTGAGGAAATGAATGCCCAGAAATGCTCATGCCTTGCCCAACCCCACACTGCTTTAGGCAGAATTGTATGTCCACGATTGTAAAAAGAATGTAAAACTCATGGGCGCCTGGGTGGCTCAGTCGTTAAGCATCTGCCTTCAGCTCAGGTCATGATCCCAGGGCCCTGGGATCGAGTCCCACATCGGGCTCCCTCCTCGGCGGGAAGCCTGCTTCTCCCTCTCCCACTCCCCCTGCTTGTGTTCCTGCTCTCACTATCTCTCTCTCTGTCAAATAAATAAATAAAATCTTTAAAAAAAAATGTAAAACTCATCACTCTTTTTTTTTTTTTAGCTCTACTTATGTACCTGTATGAGGAGTACTGAGCTACCACAGAGGCATGCAGAGAGGACCTGGTCCCACTTGACAATATTGCATCTAGCCAAATTCTTTCCGGTGCCAGCCTCTCACAGCTTGTGTCTCTGCTTTCCTTGGACTCTGAAGCTGGGTTTAACAGACCAAATCTTTCACTTCCCTTTCTTAATTTTCCCATCTGCTCTTCTTCTTAGGCCTAACCCCCCCGGAAGCACCCATGCTCTGAAAGGATCCATCACTTCAGATCAATAAGAATCTTAAAAACAAATATTATTTATGGGACACAGCATTAGGTGGCACTGTTTGGTAGACTGGAAGTACACAGTCACAACATTACAATTTCAACAGTGCAGTAGTGAAACAAGGATTCGAATCTCAATACATTCTTTTTAATCCAGGTAACCCTGGCCAGATTACTTTGTGCTTCTCTGAGCCTCAATACCCTTTTCTTCAAAGAGGTGATGTTATGGTTGTTATAGATTAAAAAGAATGACATATGATAGTACTGGCATGTGGAACGTTTAACATACCTTTTTTTCCTCCCTTCTTCTCTCTTATTGCTCAGGGAAAAGAATAGCTGAATCACAGATCCAAGTTAGGGGTATCTGCACATTAAAAAAACAAGAGGGAGAATTTTTATTTGACAATATTTAATGTAGGTAAAAAAAACCCTAAAAATTTGGAATCTTGAGTATTATGACAGGTGCAGAGGTGTTTCCAGGTGAGCATCTTCCAGCTATTTGTCAAATCTCATCACATAAATGTAGATGCAAGATTGCAGGGAACTACAGTCATTCTAATAAATTACATGGGAGATTGCTTCAGATATATGATAAAAAATGACTAGGTAATACAAATCTATTTTCTTAATACAGGAGCATCATGGGGAAGTGGAAAATAGTAAAATTAAGTCCTTGTTCTATCATCTTCATTCCAATCTCTATTCAATTTCATTCATGATTTTCCCATATATCAACTTATTTGTTATTTCTTGAACATTTACTGTGTGCCACCTACATCATCCTAGGAATACGGTAATTAATCAAGCTTGGTTGGTTTTCCAAGATGGCACAGATAAGCAGTAACAATTAAAGAGAATGAGTACTATGATAAAAGTATGCCAAGATGCTTTAGGAGAAAAGTGAAAGGGTATTCATTCTAGCCATTAAGGTAAGAGAGTCAGAGATGTCTTCCTGCGAAGGGAATATCTAATATGAGAACTGAATAATAAGTAGGAATTACCCAGGTTAGGAGAGAGAGGAGCAAGGGTATTCTAGGCAAAAGCAGAACATATATGAAGACTTGAAGAAGAGAGCACGTGGCATGTTTAGGGCACTATATGACATTCATGTGGCTAGAGCAGTGTGTAAAATGTTAGGAGATTGGGAAGTGTGCTATCCCTTTCTGCTTTCCGAGTCCCAATAGTTTTCTTGAATAGAAATGTGGACACCATCTGTTTCCCTTCCTCACTCACACTCTCCCTGTGAAGAGAACAATGTAACTGTTTTTCTACTAGAGAAAATTCCCTGAATTTTTTCCAACTAATCTAAAATGTTTCCCTCAGAAGCACTTACCATTTTTCCACACCTCTGAACCCATATTTTGGGGAAAATATTCTCATGCTTTAGACTGTATCAGAGTGATTCCAATCTTAATGTATAAGGTTACAAAATATGGATTGAAAAAAATATAATGGGTAGCCCACTGGAATTAAGTAGAAAGTGCTCCAACAATTCCTGTACTTGGCCTCCCAGACTTGGAAATGCAAAGTGTGATCCAGTCAGGAGAGTCAGTGGCTATACATCTACGGTATGAATGCTATTTTGGGAGTCAGTCTGAAAACTGCCCCCCTTCCCTTGTCACCATCAATACTTCTTTTTCTGTAAAGAAGTAGATGGCCAACTTCTACAAAACAATCATACAAGAAGCAGGAATTAGGTATTATAGGTGATCTATCCTTAAGCCAAGGAAATTTATTCTACACAAACATTTAGAAGAAGAGAAAGAAGACCCCAGGTAGTGGTACATATTGGAGTTTGAGTCTTTTATGTGCTGGGGGACCAAAGGCAGGAAGACTTGGAGGGCTTTCTGCTTAACTTAAGGTCTGTCTTTTCATATGGTCTGTCTGTTGAGAGCAAGAGAGCCAACAGAATAGAATACAAGGTTCTATCTCAATGCAACAGAGCTGTATTAGAGGAAAGCATGGGAAAATCTCAGAGGTAATACAGAGGCTGGACATATGAATCTATTTCCAAGAATAGATCTGAGAATTGGATTTAAAAGACCTCCAAAGGGGCAGGGAATAAAACTGTTGCAAATTTAGCTAATCAATTCCTTACTGGTAAAGAATCAGATATGTATAGCTATCTTTGGTATAAGTGAAAAAGAAAAGTACACACACACACACATACTAAAATGAAATAAACAAACCAAAGGCATAGAAGCTGAAAAGAACTTCATAAAACAAGGGGACTGAAAAGACTGAGAGGAAGAAGAGAACTCCTAAAGTGATTTACTGTAACTATCAAAACAATCATAAAACTGTTGAAAACTCAGTAGGATACAATAAAATATAACGTTTATGAGATGGGAATTCATACACAGAGAAGACAGAGGAAAGAAAAAAGGTGAAATAAAAATAATATGAGTATGCTAAGGAAAACTAAAACTAAACTAAAACACATCACAAAATTACAATAAAAAGTATGGTTGACACTACATAAAATCAACTCAGCAATAAGGAGGATAAACTTAAGATTGTCCCTTAGAAAGAAGGATAAAATAACAAAGAACTAAAACAAATGAGAGGTGATGGTGGACCAGAAATTGCAACATAGCCTAAAAAATTTATTTCTGCTTAAGGAATAAACCAAAAGAACTGTAACAAAAGCAAGAATTCGAAGACAAAATTTCAGAAAATTTTGGTGAGCTCATAAAAGATCTAGTGATGCAGATTTTGAAATGTACACAGGTTCTTCGCAAAAGTCAGTGAGAGGCCATGAACTCAGAGAAAAACATTTGACAAATCCAACATCTTTTCATGATAAAAACTCTCAAAAGATTGGGAATAGAGAGAAATCACCTCAACATAATAAAAGCTTGGGGTACCTGGGTGGCTCAGTTGGTTAAGCATCCGACTCTTGGTTTCAGCTCAGGTAATGATCTCAGGGGTCATGAGATCCAGCCCCACGTCAGGCTCCACACTCAGTGGGGAGTCTGCTTGAGATTCTCTCCCTCTGCCCATCCCTCTCTCTCTCAAATAAATAAATAAATCTTTTTATTTTTATTTCTTTTAAGATTTTATTTGTTTATTTGACAGAGAGAGAGAGTGAGTACAAGCAGGCACGGAAGCAGGCAGAGGGAGAGGAAGGCTCCCCACTGAGTAAGGAGCCCAATGCAGAACTCAATCCCAGGACCCTGGGATCATGACCTGAGCTGAAGGCAAATGCTTAACCGACTGAGCCACCCAGGAGTCCCTAAATAAATCTTTTTTAAAAAAATAATAAAAGCTATATTTGATAAGCCCATAGTTAACATCATACTCAACAGTGAATGACTGAAAGTTTTCCCCCAAATTTAGAACAAAGCAAAGATTCTCACTCTCATCACTTTTATATAACATAGTACTGGAAGTCCTCACCAGAGAAATTGGGCAAGAAAAAGAAATAAAAGGCATCCAAACTGGAAAGGAAGAAAATTATCCCTGTATAGTAAATAATAAAGACTTTACAAAAAAAAAAAACTATTAGAACTAAAAGAATTCAGCGAAGTCACAAGATACAAAATCGACATACAAAAAACAATTGTAATTCTATGCACTAATAATAAACTATCTGAAAAAGGAAATTGGGAAAACAGTCTCATCTATAATAGCATCAAAAAGGTTAAAATGCTTAGGAATAGAGGCTCAACATCACTAATCATCAGGGAAATGCAAATCAAAACCATATACATAAGATCACCTCACACCTGTCAGAATGGCTGGAATCAAAAAGATAAGAAATAACAAGTGTTGGTGAAGACATGGAGAAAAAGGAACCCTCGTGCATTGTTGGTGGGAATGTAAATTGGTACAACCACTGTGTAAAATAGTATGGAGTTTCCTCATGAATAAAAAATAGAAATACCATGTGATCCACTAAGTCCACTGCTGGGTATCTACCCAAAGAAATGAAAACACTAAGTCCAAAAGATACATGTACCCATATGCTTATTGCAACATTGTTTACAATAGCTAAGATGTGGAAGCAACCCAAGTGTCCATCAATAAATGTATGGATAAAGGAAAAGTGGTACATATATAGAATATTACTGAGCCATAAAAAAGGATGAGATCTTGCCATTTGTCACAACATGGATGGACCTAGGGGGTATTACACTAAGTGAATTGTGAAATAAGTCAGACAGAGAAAGACAAATACCATATGACTTCACTTATATGAAGAATCTAAAGAACAAAACAAATGAATGAACAAACAAAAAACAGAATCAGACCTGTAGATACAGAGAATAAACTCATGGTTGCAATGGGGAGTGGGAGATACAAACTTCCAGTTATGCACGTGCTCTCTCTCTCCCTCTCAAATAAATAAATCTTAAAAAAAAAAAAGGAACTCAAATTCAGCTGTTAATTTTTACAATACATGTAGAACATAAATAAATACATGGGATGTTTAAAAGAAAAGTAATAAGATAAGGTACATTTAAATACTAGACAAAAGGAAACTGATGGTTTGATAATATAAGAACTAATAGCACTTACTGTGATATGATAAAAGAAATATTTCATCAATAAAATATGACAATTATAATCTGCATTCATTGCAACCTTGCCTCATATACCAAGCAAAAATTATCAAAATAATATGGACATCAGCAAATCTACAATTATAGTGGTACACTTTAACATATATCGAGAGCCAGAATCACTGAGGGTATATATTTGAACAGCTTAATTAGTAAATTTAGTCCAATGGATTATTCTAAACACACTGTTGCATTCGCAAAATAGAGATAATACTTTTATTCTTCAAGGAGAGTTGGAATAATCACAAAAATTGACCATGTATTAGGCCCCAAAAGGATGTTGCAAAGTCTAAAAAACTAGAAATCTATAATAAAAATATATTCCCCCAAATTTATATATTTGGAAACCAAAGTGAGTCTAGAGTTAAGGGTGGGAAATCATAATGGAAATTTCAAATAGTCAGACTATGTCATTGTACATGGTTATTTTAAGAGCTCACAGTCTTCCTGAGTTTCAGTTTATTCTGCATCTCAATGCCTCTTCCCAAAGCCTGACACCCCATCCAGGCTATTCTGTCCTCAGTTTCTCTGAGCCCTGTGGGGGCTCTGAGATTGTTCCTTTTATAGCTCCTGTCATCATTTGCCCTACCCAGCAGAGGTTGGCTCTCCCTGTGCCCAGATTAGTGTTCAACAACCAAACCTAGGACCCTGTGAATCTCCGGAGCTCTTTCTCTGTGACCTGCCCCCGCCCCTCTGCTCCACAGATTCCAGCTGCCTGAGCTTCCTCTAACTCCAGCCTGTCACCCTGACCCAGCTAGTCCCTTGTGAGATCCCTGCTTTGCACGCTGATCCCTGCTCT